AAGTACAAAAAATCTTTCTTGCCTTCTGCTGTTTTCTCTTGGAACAAGTTACCCCAGACCGCCAAAGAATCCCCATCCATTCGTGCATTCAAAAATGAATTAGAGTCTTGCTTTGATAGCATGCCCAGACATCCTCACTACTCTCACGGCCACGGACACCATGTGACTCACCTTACCAGACTCAGGCTTGGTTTCAGCCAGCTGAACTACCACCTATTCCAGCATCACTGTATCAGTAGTCCCGAGTGCAAATGTGGGCATCCAAATGAGACACCAGAACACTATTTATTACACTGCAAATGTTATGATACTGAAAGGACCAAAATGTTGTTGTCCATATCTTGCCTTCATCTTGAAAACATACTTCCTTCCGACCCACTCAATGTAAACGACGCCACATTATGTACTTTACTTCTTACAGGTAGCCCCTCCCTCCCATACCCTACCAACTGCCGTATCTTTGATATTGTGTTTAACTATATCCACCACTCTGGAAGATTTGACCAATCTCAATAATGTTATGCTGGGTTTTGGTGCGCCAGCCACTCTCATTTTATGTTAATGCTATACTTTCTGTCATCTTTATGTTTACATTTGTATTATGTTTTATGAGCAGCGGATTTACATAAGCACAACAAGTGCTTCCTATCCAATGCTCAAAAATCCATGTGAATAAAATAAAATAATACAGTACAGGAGTAACGGCAAAAAGCAGCTAACGCAAAAAAAAAAAAAACAGCGACCTTAGGCTCCTGTTCTGAAACAATAGGAGCTTCTTCCTGAGTAGATTTGCTTTAAAGCTAGTCTTTCTTACCATACTTACCATGATGTTCATAGAGTGATAATATTATAGACATGGGAAATATGACAACGTTTTATCCTTGAACTTTGAATATTTTCGTTCTTAGAAAAATATGATGGACCAAAGAAGCAGTGAGATTCCTGTGGACGAGCTGCCAACTGTGCACCCTGGGAACGAGACAAGCTGCGGCGAGGACCCGGCAACAGACACGGGAGGACAGCAGGACAAGGAAGAGGACATTCTATCGGAGGAAGCGTACGGGGTAAACTCTGTCCATCCTCCCGTACAGAGTCAAACAGGGCAGACGGACGGGCCTGTGGTGAAAGGTACTGTGGACAAACGCTACAAATGTGACAAGTGTGACTATTCTGCATCACGGAAAGGCCATTTAGACTCACACATGGCTAAACACACTGGAGACAAACCCTACATGTGTGGGGAGTGCGGATACAGGACAGCTCACAATTCGTATCTTACTGTTCATATGAGAAAACATACAGGTGAGAAACCTTACAAGTGTGACCAATGCGACTATTCTGCTTCACAGAAAGTTCAGTTAGAGCGACACGTGGCTAAACACACCGGAGACAAACCCTACATGTGTGGGGAGTGTGGATATAGGACAGCTCACAGGCGTTGCCTATCTGTACATATGAAAAAACATACAGGTGAGAAACCCTACAAATGTGACCAGTGTGACTATTCTGCTGCACGAAAAGTTAGTTTAGATCAGCACATGACTAAACACACTGGAGACAAACTTTACATGTGTGGGGAGTGTGGATATAGGACGGCTGTCAGCTGTAACATATCCAGGCACATGAAAAAACATACTGGTGAAAAACTCTACAAATGTGACCTGTGTGACTATTCTGCTGCATATAAAGTCAGTTTAGATATACACATGGCTAAACACACTGGAAAGGAACCCTACATGTGTGGGGAGTGTGGATACAAGACAGCTGCCAGGTCTCACCTATCCAGGCATATGAGAAAACACACAGGTGAGAAACCCCACAAATGTGACCAGTGTGACTATTCTGCTGCAGAGAAATATGACTTGGACAAACACTTGTTCAAACATACCGAAGAGGCACCCCACATCTGTGGGGAGTGCGGATACAGGACAGCTTCCAGGTCTTACCTAACAGTGCATATGAGAAAGCATACAGGTGAGAAACCGTACAAATGTGATCAGTGTAACTTTTCCTCTGCGTATAAGAGGTCTTTACAACGACACACAGCTACGCATGGTGGTGAGAAGCCCTAAATCTGTGACCAGTGCGACTACGCTGCTGCCGAAACATGGCTAAACACACTGGTAACAGGTCAGCTCAGAGCAGTAACCCTTCCATACATATGGGAAGGCCTTCGGGTAAAGAACCTACAAGTGTGACCACTGTGGATATATTCCACATCACGGAAAATAAATTTAGTTCGACACATAGAAAAGAACACTGGTGAAACGCCTAAAATGTATACAAATGTATATATAGATAAGTTAGAATGCAGAAGTTTTGTCCGTGTATTAGTTGACAAAAATTCTCAGAGAGAGTTTTGTGTAGTGGCCAGTGTTAGCTTCTGTGCTATGGCGAGTCTTGCGCGAAAACTAACGACAATGATGTATAATTAAACCATATAAAAGTGCCATACTCATACAGTTTTTTTTTTTTTACTTTTTTTGGCTTAACGTCGTTTATTCATTCCTTTAGACTTTATCGTACTGTATCACTTAGCTAATACATTATATATACGTATATACATACTAGGTACATGCACTTATGTCACACTAAGTACGCGATAGAATATTTAAAGAAATATTGATACCCTAGTACTAATCATTATAATACTAATACATGTACTTAAACGATACAAAATGTCCTAAAATCCTTAGATTTAGATTTATATTTAGATGTTATAGTACAAAGCGAAATAAATGTAGTGAAACCGTTTCAAACTGCTTGTACATATCTGTATTCAATTCGCTCACGTTATGAAATAAGCTGATATATGCACATATCTCGTAACTATTCATCACCACAACTGTAACATCCACTTTGCGAACGTCTTCTTATAGTCGTCTTTTTCTTCGAACATCTACTACTACAATTGTAGTAAATGCAGCAGAAACAGTTGTTCAAACTGATAGAGCAGAGAAAAGAGCAATATATCATGCAAGACGTCCGTAACGACAAAATCCTGGATCAGGGTAATCAGGTTTGTCAACTTTGACCTTTGCCCCTCGTCTGATTTGGCATCATTACGCTTGTCCGCCATTTTGAGCCGTGCGAGGGTGTCATTTCTCTCCAATCTGAGGCGATTTCCTACTGACTTCGGCTTTAAACCTACTCTGGGCAGTTTTGATAGACAGGTAAGACCTTTGTGTACCTCCTACACTCGCTGTGTCGCGGTACCGCAGCAGATACTTCAAATCATGATGCGTGTTTTATTATTATGTTCTATCCCCTGTATATGGTAATATGAGTTCGCGGACGAGGACGCCCGCTTGATGGAAAGAGGGGGATAGTGTAACGGTTATGACTTATTATGATTTGTATAATTAGGGTAATATGTAAATGACCATGTGGAAAGACTACTTTAGAGACTATGCATATATTTGCGCGTTAGGTAGGCCCTGATTGGTTGGTGAGAGCAACCAATCAGGTTAGGGACTATTGTGAACAGAGTTGAGCTTGGGAAAGACAATCGCTGTGTAAGTTAGTCGTGACCTGGATCCAAGGTATGTGCACATGTCTAGTTGTAGCTCTGTAGATAAGTAGATTGTATAACTGCCAGTACCACATCTGTGTAATCCTAGACCATTGGTAACCCTCTGTGTAACTACGTGCTAAACTCCTCGTGAACCATTAGACCACATATACCTGTTTTAGAGTTAACATACGGATCAATAAACCCGGCTCAGCAGAAGTAATCGAACTGTTTGGATCTCTCTCTATACTAAGATATTATAGAAGCTAAGATACCAAACGACCACTAGACCTCAAATATTACATTATCGAATTATTACCTTCGCCAAGAAGGTTATGTTTTCTGTAGCGTTTGTGTGTGTGTGTGTGTGTGTGTGTGTGTGTGTTTGTGTGTGTGTGGTTTAGCAAGATAACTCGAGAAGCAGTGGATGGATTGGAATGAAACTTGGTAGGTCGGTAGGTCTTCATGAGACATAGAAATGATTAGATTTTGGGCCCCCTGGCGGCTTTCCTAGGTACTGCAGTCGAACTTCCGGTTTTGATATCTCATGTTCTGTACATGCTAGGGTCACGAATTTTGATTGGTAGATAGCTCTTGGATAGGGAAGAAATGACATAAGTTTGGGTCCCCTAGCGGCTTGTTCTGGAACTGCAGGAGCATTTGTTGAAAAAAATTTGAAGGACGATAACTCAAGAACCGATTGACGTATTGTCGTGATTTTTGGTATGTAGGTAGTTGAAGTGATGCTTGACATAATCAAATGACAATTATGCAAATGAGGACTTAATTTGCATAATTAATGAGGAAATTCTATAAATCTGCTTTGTTTGGTAATAGAACTATGAAACACTTGTGACATCCACTTGAGAACAAGAAAAACATCTGAGGATATAGATTATGTAAATGAGGACCTAATTTGCATAATTAATGGCAAATTCTTATAATTCCATAGTTGTAACTGCTGCGCCCCCAATTTCATACTTGCCACATTTGGAAGTAAAGTGAAGGTGAACATCAATAAACATAATTTATTCAAGCCATGACCTCATTTGCATAATTTATGAGGAAGTGCTATAATAGCCTTTTTGTTATGATAAGGCTGTCATTGGATGGTGAATATGATCAACTGATATAATCCATGCAAATGAGGCTCTTATTTACAAAATCAATTATTAAGATTGTATGATTCGTCCCCCGCAAGGGTTAACATCATTTGGCGAAGGTATGAGATCGTGGAACTCTTGTTTAAGGTATGCATGGGGAGGGGGGCAGGTCAACCCAGATTCTAGTAGGATATCTGATATCCAATATCACTGGTCTTTTTCCAAATATACTAGCTATGGGGTCATATAGACTGTGGGCATAAATAGTATGGAAATATCAGTACTAGTATGCTTGAATTCCTGATGTTCTATTTTTGGTCTAATATAGAAACGGATACTATGTAAACGTTGTCGACGCTTCAATTTCGGAAATTCTATCTTTGGTTTCAGAAAATTATGGACCAAAGAAGCAGTGAGATTCCTGTGGACGAGCTGCCAACTGTGCACCCTGGGAACGAGACAAGCAGCAGCGAGGACCCGGCAACAGACACGGGAGGACAGCAGGAGAAGGAAGAGGACATTCTATCGGAGGAAACGCACGGGGTAAACTCTGTCCATCCTCCCGTACAGAGTCAAACAGAGCAGACGGACGGGCCTGTGGTGAAAGGTACTGTGGACAAACGTTACAAATGTGACCAGTGTGACTATTCTGCATCACGAAAAGGCCATATAGACCGACACATGGTTAAACACACCGGAGAAAAACCCTACATGTGTGGGCAGTGCGGATACAGGACAGCTTTTACGTCTAACATATCCAGGCATATGAAAAAACATACTGGGGAAAGATCTTACAAATGTGACCATTGCGACTATTCTGCTGCACAGAAAGGTAACTTAGACTCACACATGGCTAGACACACCGGAGACAAACCCTACATGTGTGGGGAGTGTGGATACAGGACGGCTGTCAGGTCTAACATATCGAGGCATATGAGAAAACATACAGGAGAAAAACCCTACAAATGTGACCATTGCGACTATTCTGCTGCACAGAAATGTCATTTATACACACACACGGCTAAACACACTGGAGAAAAACCCTACATGTGCGGGGAGTGCGGATACAGGACGGCTGACAGGTCTTACCTATCCAAGCATATGAAAAAGCATACATGACATTGATTGTACAGATGTGAGCAATGGAACTTTTCTGCTGCACGCAAAGTACATTTTGACCAACACATGGCTACACACACTGACGATAAACCCTTTAAATACAAGCGTGACCAGTGCGACTTTCAGTGCTGTACTTTATAAAAACATGGCTTAACACGCTGCTGAGAAACCTCGTATGTAAGGGTAGTGCGGATGGCATAATTATCTACTGTGTCCCGCATATTAATAACGAAGATGTGCTTACCAGCTTTCAGAGCTGCTTTGGCGCCTTGTAGACAGCTGTTCTGAGTAGCGTACAGTAGAGCTTCGTTCGCGTTTTCCGCCATGTCGTCAGGACCGCTGTTGTTGTTGTGGGCACAGCTTGCTGCGCCAGTTCACACTGGACCGTCAGGAGTGTGAAAAGACGTGGGGAGAACTTGTCACGTGACCTACGTCTGGCGACATGAGCGATTGCCGTGGGCGGGGCTTAAGGCCGCACAACACAGTATTTATGGGCGAACCCCGTAGTCAAAAGTAGTCCGGGCACAAAGTAGTGCTGCACAATACTAGAGAAGGGTACAGAGATTGTTTTGTGCATGGCATCGAGATAGAACGGTGTTCAGTCGGCGTAGATTTGCGCTTGGATACTTGTCCCGCCTAGTACTGTGCCTCGGCTGCAGTTCCATGACCTCCGCAGTGGCGCTAATAAAAGAGGGCATGAGAAAAGAACTAGCCGGCAAATCTAAGCTCATTTTCACATATTTTGTACACTATACCCTGAAATTAAACATATCAAAAATCTGAACCTTGCTTGTGCACCCTACTATGATTTTCAGTGAGTCGAAGTGAGTCACTTTGGGGTCCATAACTATAGAAATCCCCATAGGGCTAATACTGTGTTGTGCCGCCTTGAGCCTCCACCAGGACCAGGACTTCCCACGGGGGTACGGATCGTGTAGCCTCTACCGGGCTTTGGGAGGTGGCCGGAAAGACTAGAAATTGACCAGATAGAGAGATGGCATGCCAGGGAAGTTGGTCCGCTTGACAAGTACAGTACTCTTCTAGCGGACCAACTTCCCGGGCATATTTTTAATACTGGTATCTTTCTACTTGGACAATTTCTACTCTTTCCCCTCGCTTCCCGAAGTCTGGTAGAGGCTATAGGTCGAAGGCAAGGTCGACGTCAGTCCCTAGCCTCTATCAGAATTCGGAAGCGGCTGGATAGAGTAGAAATTGGCATGTTATCTAGTTAGCCAATTTCTGCTCTTTCCAGCCACTTTCGAAGCCTGGTAAAGGCAACAAAATTCCAGATCCGTCTCTGTTCGAGTCTGTTGCATCCTTTACCTTTGATTTCATACAATTTTTACATTCATACAGTTCCGCCAGGAGATCCAAGATCATCCAATAGTGATTGGGTCTGTCATATACAGTCTGCTGGAATTTCTACGACATAATACGCAGAAGGAAACATAAAAAGACGGTTCACTTTGTTCTTGTACGTGTTGTGTTATTGTTTCACTTGTCATGCATTATAGGTCTTTATTAGAGTTCTTTATTGCAAGTTCGTGCCCGAGGGCTAATTCATTGCAAACAGACACTCACAAAAACAATGAATACAGAATGTGGTGAATTTAAGACTATAATTATGCTAACATGGAGTTCTACTTATACGGTCTGCTTATTTAGCTTACTATATGTACTTTGAAACTAACATAACGTTTGTACACAGGATAAAGATTTATATGATTCACATAAATAGGAGACATGGTATCTGCTATGCTAGAGTATTACTAGTAATAATAAAATTGGAGTAGCCAAGTTGTTAGGAGGTTTGACTTCTTCTCAGGAGGCAGTGCAATGTCATGACCGGAGGCTTTTACAGAGACTGAGGTGCTACATTTGTATATGATACAATAATAGAAAACAGACAACTATTGTCCGGGGAAATACTTCTACTACTACGCATGCTATTATGAGGTTTGACTTCTTCTTTGAATGCAGTGGGCAATGAACTATCCCACGTTCTGCATAATGAGTGGGTTTCGTGATCTCAGTGGAAACGCTGAACTTCTAAATGATGAAAGGATGGCGAAATATTGTGTTAACTGTTTGAAATAATCTGTTTCTGTCTCTTTTTTTTGTGAGAACACTGGCTAATAAAATGTATTTCATTTTCCACTGCATTCGACACAAATTACTCATGGCTAAAGGCTTCATTGGCTTTCAATTAATAACATCGGTCAAAATCACCAACCAAAGCAATTTATAGACCGCGTGTTGTGGGGTCGTGTGGCCGAGTGGCAGAGTGCTCGACTCGGAACCAAGAGGTCCCGGGTTTGAGTCCTGACATGCCACCGATCTTGTGCCCTTGTGACAGGCACTTTACACGATCTTGTGCCCTTGTGACAGGCGCTTCCTCACTTCGCTCAGTTTAAAATGAGTATTGTATTGTCCCCTGTGTTGGTGGTGGCATTAATATAAGTTGAAACAACTTGAGTGTGCCGTCACCACGTCTTGTGATTAGATATTGAAATATAAAAAAAAAATTATAGACCAAGGAGGTTAACAATCTAGGAGCAAGCTCCTTGGCACAGACATAGACAAGCCCACTACTCACAGTCAGCCACCCAAAACAATACTTTTGCACCCTGAAGTGACGTTTGGGCATTTCAAACAAAGCTGAACATGCAAAAAGTTGTAGAGCTACGTTTGATACACTTGTCCTAAGCTATATTTGCACACATTTTTGTTTCACAGTCTTCAACTTGGACAATTTTAGAAAGGGGTTTGAGCCATCGTCAGAGAACGTGTCGTGTCCGCAGCTCTTCTGGTGTCCGATAAGCCAGTGTTGTCTCTGACAGTCTCGGCTGCAGTACCGGGTCAGCTTGCACTGGGCACACAGCTTCAGGGTGGACCTGGAGAAAAGACCGTAACAGTTATTAACTGAAACTGTTGGGAGTTAACAGAAAAGAATTCCGGAAAGTTTGTGGGGTCGTGTGGCGTATACGTAGCGGCAAAGTTCTCGACTCCAAGGAACCAAGAGGTCCCAGGTTCGAGTCCTGACATGCCACTGATCTTGTGCCCTTGGGAAAGGCACTTTACACGACTTTCCTCAGGTAACCCAAGTGAAAATGAGTATTGTCATGTTCTGTATTTATACTTGTGTGTGCCGTCGCCATGTTTGGTCATGAAATGTTTGAATAGAAAAAGGTTTTCAACTGTTGAAAAAATTCTTTAAAATTAAAATCGTAGACTACAAATACGGAGAAATTGGACAATGTGCTATTTGCAACTGCATAATGTTTACCTCCACACTGTCTAGCCTAACAAATACTGCTCTGTTTATTCTTACTTATATTAAACACATTTATATATATGGTGAACAGCTCTGTCCTGCCACTTGCTTCATAATTAAGGGTTAATCAATGACCCGCTCCGAGGTGTATATGGTGTGATAAAGCCTTGTCGTAGCTATAACCACCGAATAAAACCACCGCGAGTGAGCGTACCCCATTTTATCTGAGGACACAGGCAGACACAATCACAGACAGACACATCGAAAACAATATCCACAACCCAGAAAAGGGGACGAAGGTAACGAAACCTACCTATAGCCCGGTTTGCCGCATGTAGTGTTGCAGCATCTCAGCAGCCTGGTATGCAGTGCCTCTTGTACCAGCTTCGTAAGCTCTACGTCCCTTTCGCAGTGCCTAGTTGGGTACAAATGTAGTATTGGCCCATTCACTAAGAACCTAATACCAGCCCAGAAAAGTAGTAGTGGATTGTTGATTAAGAGAAAAACATTACAGAAGAAGTCTGAATAGAGGTTTGCACAACAAGTCAGAGATTCTAAAAAAGTCCACCATGTTTTGATTTTGTGTGGCGAGAAGTAGGCAAGAAAAGGCTCTGATTTAATGTTTCGTTTCTTACTTTGATGCGGTGATATGTGCTGCTGACTGTGTATATGTGATGTTATCACTGAATCAAAACCATTTGTACAATAATTGAGTCAAAATTTCAAAATGTAAGAACCTTGTTTTGTTCGACCCGCCTTGTTTTTTTTCTCACGCTCGCATTAGATCTGGAGTCTGTGGAGGACGTCATCCACAAAATTTACTTGCTGTGGCCTAAAGCAAACAATATTTTCGTATCTGGAAGAGACAGTCGTTCATTCTCACTTACTGTTGGGCCGTCAAGCCTTTGGCGTCAGTCAAATCAGCTCTTGCTCCGAACTCGATCAGTCGCCGAGCTATGTCGACCTGTTTGTAAGAACAGGCCACCATGAGGGGCGTCCTCTGGTAGGCGTCCCGTGTGTCTAATGTTGCACCATGACGTACCAGCAACTCCACCACTTCTGTGTACCCTGGGTTGGATTTGTGATGTGAAAAATTAATCAAGTAGCGTTTTATAAAATGAAATGAAATACCTTTATTGTACATTCATGTCACGACGGGCTAGGTACAGGTCAAGATATAACAGACACAGGGCAAACGTATATAGAAAAGTGGAGACAAAAGATGCACACCCGCGATGTCGGCCCCCTTCGCGGTTCAATGTAGGGTGATGGGCCCTGGCCTGATGTATATGGCTTCCTTCACCCCTCTCAAGAAATAGTCTTGTTCAGTGGGCCGGGGGCCGTCATCGTCAACCAGACACCTTTGACCCAGTGTTGACGTCACACTTCAAAGAAGCCACGTGACAAGCCTCACTGGATCAGTTTACTGAGGAGGACCAGAGTGACTGGTCGAAAGCTCAAGGCGAGAGAATTTTTTGTGTTGGACCAGAAGTTTTAACTTTAAGGTCTCATTCTTGAGTTTTTGTTAACTATGGCCGCCTATGGCAAAATACGTAACTTTACATAGGCCAAAACCCTATAATTTGAATGACAGCCATCTAGTCTATCCAATCAATTTTGAGCACAATGGCCCTACATTACGTCAAAAAATTCCCAACCAGATCTAACCCAACAATCTCTTTTTATTTAATTATAAACTGCACTTGGCCACTCTCCGCCAGAGGTCCTCCAGCGCTGCTACCTCCTGACCGCATTACCCATCACAACAGCGTGTAAACATCCGACCTGTCGCGCGGATGTCAACACTTACCCACTAATTTTAGCACATACAAACAACCTCTCATATCACAAGCGGTTTACGCCAACTGACTTAGCTAAGATGCAATTTCTGGCGGATATAAACACACATCCATACACGCATTTAATTTTTAGTACGATCTACTTTAGAGTACCCACGCGGAAGAATACCGGAATGAGACCTTAAACATGTAACTACAAACACAGATGAACTTTCATAATAGTCTTTGAACTGTTTTTTTTATCGACGGCCTACCTTTGGCCGCTGCTATAAGAAGGGGAGAATTAGATTTCCCAATGGATCTCTTCGTTAAAGACGCCCCCTTGCGGATCAGCAGCCTCACTACGTCGGCATGTCCCAAGAAGGAAGCGATGTACAGAGCTGTTGCATCGGTGATCTCGTGGCCGTCCTGGGCGCCGGCGTAGTCAATGTCTGCACCTGCGTTTGGTCGTTACAGTTAGTTCAATCTCCAAGCAGATCCCCTTCGTTGGCAAAAAGACAGTATCAAATTGGCCAGGCAGTATCGATTAGCAAGAGAAGGTCGCCAGCGACCGACGGGTGGGGGTTAGCGACAAAAAAGGCTATATAAAAAAAGGTAACGATCATTCCCCCACAACCTCTGCTTGGAGAGTACAGTTAGTTGAAGTCAAACACAAGACAGTCATCTTACAGGACGTCCTCTCGGATGGGACGTAAAGTTGGAGGCCCCGTGTTTGAGTATTCTCCACCAGCCTCCTTTGCAGGCTGAATAAATAGTAGAATAGGCTAGCCTCCACCGGGCCTTTGTACGGGAATACGGATCGCAAAAAAAGAGAGTAAAATTGGCCAAGGGAGTCCGGCCGCGAGGAGGTAGTTTCTCCCCCCCCCCCCCGAAGAATCTGCTTGGAGTTTTACTAGTATAGTACTAGTAAACAGACTAAAGAGTATGTCAGAGTTGTATAATCTTGGGTGCCCTGACACAGTTATAGAGGCTAGCTTACCTGCTTTCAAAGCGGCTTTGACGCCCTGAATGCACCCTCTCTCAGCAGCGTACAGCAGAGCTTCATTCGCGTTTTTCGCCATGTCGCCAAGACTGTTGTTGTGGGCACAGCTTGCGCGGGCGTTGTCTGAGCTCGAACTGAAGACTTGACTCGGGGAAAAGTTGTCTTAACACGTAACCTATTGTTTTCCCAAGTGCATTGTTGCAATGGGCGGGGCTTTTGGCTGAGTCTGGGGCATTTCCCGTCAGGGCCGCTAGGTGCGCGATTTAAACAAGCTAGAAATGACTACTAGTACTACATTGTACTAAATGTAAAACAGTAAATGTAAAACTGACAGATTCAATGAAAGGCAACAAAGAAGTTAAGCTGCAGGTCGCCTACTTGTCCAACCCCCAAATGCTTTTGCCTCGTTACAGGTTTGGTGTTCATTAGTAATTGGTATCAAGTTGTGTTTTCTATATAGTTATGAAAGAATTACAGTGTAGTTGTTATATTGTAGTGTTGTATACATTGTAGTCATTCAGTAAACATTGTGTAGTTGTTATATTGTAGTGTTGTATACATTGTCCTTGTAGTCATTAAGTAAATATTGTGTA